GATTTTTAAGCAACATCTGTAAGAAAGCATTTTATAGTTACAATTTATTTTTATCCCCTTTTTAACATGGCCACCTATAAAAAAGAGAATATATCTCTATCTTAATCACTTAAGGGCAAGTGCCCACAACGCAGACAATCCAGAGCATCATACCAAAATATCAACCACATGAGCAAAAAAGAAATAATCATAATCTTAGCATGCCTAGGGGCTATGCACCTAAGTCTGTGTCAGTTGTGTGGTATGTCACACTACAATTGGTGTCTTATTTTATTGTGGAATATAGATGCTTAATTTTAATCAAGGAGGTGGTTTCACTTTAAATTATTTGTGCCTTAAAGCTTTTATTTAATTTTTAATTATTCCATATTTAGAAATGCTATAAAGAACCATAAAGCTGTCACAGCTTGCTTTGAATCAAGTCTGCTACTTATGTAATCCTAAGATGTAATGATATGGACATTCTACCTTTTGAGGTGAAATCATTAATCATTATATCAAGATAAACCTACGTAATTTTTTAGGTATTTTTTAAAGTTCTCTTAGTGTTTGAATAAGATAGAATTATCCATTTAATAGGGTAAGGTAGACATGCATAATGGTTTAACTCAGGACTTTGTCAAATTCACTTAATAGGGTAAGATGAATTCCAACAGAAGGAAACTCTTAAAGAACATCTAAGTATTATTTTTGAAATGTCATGGAAGGAAAAATCACTTACTTTGTTAAATGATAGGATACTTAAAATTTGGGTCTAAGGATTAGAGAGTTCTCTTAGCTGCATATCTGCAAGTGTAAACCCATTAATTAAATTGATCAAAGATAAGATCAACCATTCGAGCAAATTCAACATCCATGGGATCAATATAACCTTCTAATTCTTCAACATCATCGTAGTAATTGTCATTCTCATCCATCTTGAGATCATCTCCAAGTTGGGACTATCGCTTCCAATGTATAATTGGAGAATCAAGGGATTCATCATAAACATCATGCTCCTCCCTTTGTGAATTTGTGATATTTTTGTCAGCAAAAGTTTTCCTACTAAAGGATAACTCCTGAATATAAGGTTTGAGCCGCCCTTTGTGAGTTTTCTTATCACAGCCATCCTTATGAGGCCAAGGATATTTAGGTTTCTTTGGAACCCAAACTTGCTATATTTGTGTGGTTACATACTAATGACCACCAAAATCAAAATGTGGCTTTGAATGACAAGATTCATGATATGATCGTTGGGGTCTTCGTTTGTCATACATTTTATTATAGCCTTTTGCATATAAGACTATCAGGATCTCCCAACTGTTTTCTTCCGCAATATAGGTATTGACCCATATTAGGACAATATTGTTTTGGCTCTTGGTGATGAGGATGTTTGATATCCTCTATAATAAGGTTTTCTTGAAATTTTATTTTTTCGAGAATGAGTCGTGTTAGAGAAGATGATCTTATTAACAGGTCTTCTCAGTCTTCTTTGTAAGTTTCTATCTTTGATGTCCTTCAGTATTTTATATATTTTGGAAAAAGTAAACTCTTCCTTCTTCAGTGGTGGTTGTTGGCGAGAGTCTCCTAGAAGACTTCTTGATTTCGCCCTTAGCTCTATTCCTTTTCAATCATTTTAATAGCTCGAATCCATTATCAATAGGGATGTTTGCTTCAACCTGAGGTAGTGGTTTCTGAATCAAAAAAGGTGTTTCCCAACCATTAGCTTGAAAATGAGCAGTGGCTTTTCTTCAAGCCTTCCCTTAGTGCCAACAGCAAGGATTTCAGTGTTATATTCTTCAAGGGCTTCACTCTGAATCATGTTCTAGCTAGCTGGATTGACAACAACAAACTTCAGCTTATGCTTGGTAACTTTCTTTTGAGTGAATGAAGAAGCGACAAGAGCAATAAAAAGCCTTAAAAATACAGAGGCTTTTTTGGGAGTCTTTTCGTTGACAGCTTCAGTAGGTCTTTCAAAGCGCCTTTGATAATCAATACATCATCATTGTCATTAGGGAAAAACTACATGACTTCGAAAATAGTTCTGAACTGAATAATTGCTCCAGCGTGGCCTGTGTTCAAAATGGCTTGAGGGAATTGTTGTTTCGCTCCCTCGCTCAACTTCACAATCATAATGGAATTAATAGGTGACATAGGCAAGAATCGGATTTTTTTCTTGAAAATGAGTTAGCTCAAGAAAACTGCACGTAGGCAAGAATCCTAATTCACAGACATATGATTCCATTCTCCATAAGGCAGATTATAGTTAACCAGATTTTTTCTAAGGGTAATATAAGGGTTCAATTAGATTTGGGTCCTTACTTCTTATGAGCGTAAGCCCTCATAACTAATTACCCAACTTACTACGTAAAAGAGAACTCTTGATTAAGGATGAATAATTTTAGTTGTTTTAGTTTCAATTGCGGAGAAATGGATATATATCCAATCAAGATCTCATGGTTCAGTCGTCCCGGGTATGCCATAGGTTTAAATTTACCAACACTAGTTATCACTGATCGTAATGTCCAAAGAAAATTAGCAGTCAAGGGTTGCCTTCTCTCAAGGATCCCAAGTAAACTGCGGTGGTTAAATAAAGTTTGTTTTTTTATAGTGGCTTGGGATTTCTATTAGAATACCCAATGATTAATTTAATTTGGGGATTTATAAATTCATTTAGAAGTTACCTGGTTGTTTAAATCGATTTGGGGCTTACGACTTCCATTCGAAGTGGCCCGAAGATTTGAATTTGGGTCAGGACTTATGGCCCGAAGGTTTTACACTACACGCGTTGTCATCCTCCTCGGGCTCTCACATGAGGGCAAACAAGTGAAAATCGTTGGATTTCCACTATTTTGCGGAGAGGACAGTAAATGAAAGGACTATTCTTGAGTTTTAGAAATTAAAATGCGGGATTTCTAGGAATATATGGCTTGGACAATGTCATGCACACATCAATGACTTAGATATCTATGGGTTTTGCTATATTTTGAGGGATATACCTAATCAGAGCAAGTCACGGTGCTAGTCGGTATCCTCTTTTCTTGAAAAGACAAGATAAAGGAAGAAACATGAATGAGTTTGCTGTCCAAATTGTCCACACAACCTCATCGGAGTGGATATATGAGGAAGAAGATGCTTTTAAACTCCTTTGGCTATAGAAATATGGAACTACAGTGGTCTAATCATCCAACAATGAACTTCCTCCATCCCTTGGCTTCACTTGGACAGCACAACAAAATGAAAATGGCTCGGTCGACTCTCTCTTTTGCACGCAAAGAGTCATGCACTCAATTCCCTCTCGATCGACAATTCCAGCAACATGCACGAGAGGAAGCTCTTGTTTCCTTTGGACGCACGCATGAAGAGTGTTGATTCCTCATGCATTCGGCTCGGCTCTCAGAAACAAGCGCATGGGAGTTACCCCGCTCGACCTCCTGCTCAATCTAGTCCCTGGTAATCCGCACGAGAACCACTTGCTCTTCTCCTCTAACTGCATGTGGATGATTGCTCTCGTCTTTGACCCAGGCACGCACGCAGAAGGCCACCTTCTCACACTCCTTTTCTCTTGCACTCAGCACTCTCATTTGCTTGTGAAATTATTTTGTGCAGACTCCGGGCGGGAAGATTGCTGAGAATTTGTAAATACTCAGCAAATACTCAATAAATATGTAGCAAATCAGCAAATATACAGCAAAAGCTCAGCAAATACTCAACATCTGAGTATTTACAAATACGCAGTAGATACGCAGCAAATACGTACAGTTTTTCTCGTCCGTACTCCGCACATAATAATTTCTCTATTCGCTTGGGGACGCACGAAGCAGAATAGGACCCCAATACTCTCTCCCGCTCTCTCTATGCACGAAATGAGGCTTTTGCACCCATATTTGATCCAAATTGACGAGATCATTAAATTGGACAGAACGACAGCTGCGCAGACTTGGAATTTCAAGGTAATCTCATCCCTAGATTTAGATTTCCTGATTTGGGAAGTCAATTAAGTCCGGATTTGATCAATTGGACTGAAATTGAGCTTAAATTAGGTTCGATTTGAAACGATTTGAGTCGATACGTACCGAGTTGATTTTAATTTGACTCAATTTAGGTCCAATATTAATTGAATTGGGTTCGATGAGGCTCAATTGAGTTGATCGCGTCCGATTCGAGTTAATTTGAATCGATTCGACACGAAAAAAATATGTCAACACATTCGCACCACCATTCAAATTCACTGGAAACTGTCCAAATCTCCATCGTACTAAGTTGTCAATCTTCACTCCATTGGCAACCACCTCATGCCACATCGACTTTCCAACCTCTCAAATCCATCAACCCCTAACTTTAACAACCCTATAACCTCGTCTACATAGCTCATTGATGAATTAATAAACCCCACTCCAAAAAAATAGAGAGTACATATATGTAAAGGGTTTATATACAAAGTATTCAAAATCATGGCATTTACATATTTAACAAACTTCATTATTTAGATAATCAAACAACTAGAATTTAACAAACTTCATTATTTCAAAGTATTCAAAACCATGGCAAGGAGATCACCATGAGATCTCGCTGGAGAAGGCATCGATGTGATCAGCGGCAACTGGAGCAATAATGTGTAAAGAAGTGGAAATTGAGAGGCTCGTGGATTTAAGGCAAAAGGAGGAGAAACATGATTTAAGATTATACTAGATTTAAAGGTGTCATTTTTATTGTTTGGAAGGATTTAGGTTAAATCCTTTCTTAAATCTCATCCATTTCTAGAGTTTCAGCGGAAGGATATCAACATTATCAAATTTCGACAGTGATAATTGTTATTTTTGCTATTATTAAAAAGTATATATAGAAGTTTTCAGTCAATCACAAAAATCTAAAAAAAAATTGAAATGAGACCAATGCAATCACAATTGTGAGTAATCCTCATCTGAAAGAAGCATAGGAACATCTCAACATTCATGTCTGCTGTCAAGAAAACAACTAATGCAAAGTACTAAAAATGGAGAGCTTGAAAAACCACGCACCTGGTTGAGACTTCTCTCCAAGGAATGGACTGCTTCCTCTAATGGGTATGATAAGGAATTATCCCAAACCAAATTTGATGCCAGGAAAGAAACATTCTCAAATTCATTCACCTCTATCTGAAAGGTAATATTTAAATCTTTCTAAGGAAATAAATCTGAAGCAAAGCTATGTACAAAATTATTGAACAAATATCGTTTAGTAGAGACTAGAAAAGTTGTGAAATGACAGGACAAATCTAAGCAGCATTTTCTAAAGCACAAATGGGAAACATAAATTATTGATTTTGAATTGTTATTCCCGACAAAAATGCTTGAATAAAATAAAAAAAAATCAAATGGCCTTTATTGAGAATTTGCAACCATTGATTTAAATCTTTCATCCATTTTATTTCCTAGCTAAAGATAGCCTAAAGAAAACCTAGAGAACTATACTATTCAATGAGGTTTGTTCATCTGCAAAGAAAAAAAAACAAGAAGTGATGCATATACTTGAACAAAAATCATATCTTTTTTTTACTATATCTGCTCCTTCATAAGCATATACCATCAATTGGAACCATCAAGATTTCTACATCTTGCAGTATCCAGTTATTGATGGGCAATCATTGAGATCTGCCAGAACTGCAGGGGCCATATAATTTAAAAACATTTTCATAGGGAAATACCTATGTTGTCAATGTTATGCATTATATAACTAAAGAGGAACCCCAATAATTGCTCACAAATCTATCCTAGAATTTAAGAAAACCATACAAATAAATCAGAGGGCTGATCATTTGAAGGATATAGGTTTTTGAGGAGAGGGTATTACCTGAGGGATAAAAAAATAAAATGAACCAGGGTGATTAAACATTTTTTTCGATTCCATGTTCCAATCAATTCCAATGAACCCGTAAGCACTTATAAGAGGTGATTCAAGGGAAAGGTATCTGCAGAAAAATTAATCAGGTTGTCACATATCTCTTTGGCTAGTTTCTTATGATAACTTTGTAAGGCAATACTTGATTCTATTTGTTTACAGCGCATAAACAGAAAATTGAAGAATGTACAGTCAGTAAGGTATTTTATTTCAGGGAATTGCTATGGTACACTTGAAAAAAAAAATTTCCCAAATCCGTTCTGGAAGCAAACCTGCAAAATTGCTCAAATTGGAAGCACAGTATTACCAATTGCCACAAAATTTTAAGCATACAGTCAACAAATGACAAATGTGCACTTCAGTAAATCCAACAACATGCTTCACATTTGTAAGGTAAAGTGAAATCCAAACACAGCAATTTTACTTATAATTAACAGTCAAGTATAGCAAGTAACCGTGTGAAAGAAAATTTATCAATGATGCCCTTTCATCTGAACAAGAACAAGATTTCAAAATATTTATTCTAAATGTACTGGAGAAACCCTTTTATTTTATACAGAGTTACAGACATCCTTTTTTCCAGGTAAAAATTTGCTGTTATAATTCAAAGCACTAAGGCTTGCAGCCAAAATATATTCCTTAGTAAAGACCCTATTATTGCTTTTGGAAGTTTAATAAGCTACAAGACAGAGGATTTATAATTCCTATTTCTAAACATCAATAATCAAACATGGGACAATGGAAACCAGAGACTTAAGAAAATTCATCACTTTGGATGAACTCTTGCGGACAAAACATAAATACCAAGACACAACTAACACAACATTTGCCAACATTCTGCTTAAGATTAAAGGAACTTCCGTATTTAAGAGCGTGAATAATTTAATGCATATATCCAACAAACAAATTAATTTTGCAAGAACGAGCAAATGCAAGGTCTTTTGGACATCCATCATAGAAAAACTACTTCTAGAGCTGGAGCTTAAAAAACTAGCAAATACTTCTAGAGTCTCAAATAGTTATAGACGTTTTACAAGCCTAAAATAACAGGTTTGGAGTCACGGGTGTAATGATACATTACAATAAAATCTTCCACCCAATTCAATTTAAGATATTTAATATTTAGAATCAAGTATACCAAGAGAAGATGAAGAAATTTCATTATCTCAACCTTAGCTTATATGCCTAGTGTGTGTGTCATCTAAGTATAACCGGTGGAAAAACAAGAAATTTTGAAATTTAGCCTTTATTTATATGCTTATTGTTGAAAGACAACAAAATCTAAAAAGGAAATATGCTAAACCCCTCATCATTTGATGCATTCATATTTTTTAGTCTATTTTGTTTTGATGTATTTTGAACAATATCTAGTTGTGTTTTATGTTTTTTTTTAGCTATCCTATGATGGAAGGCATCCAATGATCATGGTAGGAAGTGCTTGGGCATAGTAAGCCTTGGGTTTGCTTGCAATTGGTTCCTTCTTGTCCATGGGCTGCTTATTGTTCTTGGTTTAGAGATGTTTGCTGCTCACGGGTTGGGCCTTGGCTGCTTGGTGTTGAGCTCAAAATTTGGATTCTACTTGGTGTTAGCTCATTAATGTTTGAGCTGAAGTTTAGCTCAATAATTGGTGGAATAAATGCACTTCCTAGCTCATTAAATAAAAAAGGTATACTTCTATATAGCTCATTATTATGGAGTGGGCTTGTGTCTCTTCCCTTCCCCTTGTCTTCTCGGTTTCTGCTGTCTATTGCTGTTCCCGTGGTCACTCCCTCTCGATTTTATCCCCTAGCTGTTTCCCGTGAAGCTCTGCCCTGTTTCCTATGCTGGCCCTTCGGGTCCCTTGCTGGCTGGGCTTCCCGTGGCTTCTGGCTGGGTTTCCCGTAGCTAGCAAGCCACGGGAAAGCAGCCAGAGAGGGACCCGAGGAGCCAACACAGGAAACAGGGCAAGGAATTCACGGGAAACAGCCAGGGAGAAATCCCAAGAGCCAGCCAGCTTTTATTCTCAAAGAAAAAACCAAAGAGACACAAGAAGGGGAAGAGATAAGATCCACTCCACATACCTTTTTGATTTTATGAGCTAGGAAGTGAATTTACTCATCCAATTAATGAGCTAAACTTCAGCTCAAGCATTAATGAGCTAACACCAAGTAGAACCCAATTTTTAAGCTCAACACCAAGCAGCCAAGGCCCAACCCGAGAGCAGCAAACAGCATCAATCCGAGAACAGCAAGCAGCCCAAGGACAATAAGGAACCAAATGCAAGCAAGCCCAAGACTTTGTCAAGCCCAAGCACTTCCTACCATGATCATTAGATGCTCTCCATCATTGGATAGCTTATAAAAAAATATAAAACACAACTAATATTATTCAGAATACATCAAAACAAAATAGACTAAAAACATGAATGCATCACAAACACTTAAGATTAAATGAGTATATTTAGGACAACTATAAGTTTAGAAAATCTGGTGATCCTAGTAAGAGATCTAGGGCACATCATTTTGGTTCGCATTAGGTAAGAAAACACATCTGAAGCTTTGAGAATATTCCAATCAATTTTGTCATGAATGGTTCATTAAGGCATGACGACGAGTTTCAAATTTTAAGGATTGGCGTAATAGAGCGACCGTTCACTTATCAATCTCTCCACAAGCTTTGTAACATGTACAAAATGGTTGGTCTTGCTTATTCTAGGACTTATAAAATGAATCTTTGAGGATTTATGTAAAATCCGACAAGCTACCAATATATCATTTCAACAAAATTAAATACATTTCGAATATCCAACAAATCTTCTAGAAACATCCATAAGTTTTTTGTTAATGCAAGTTTCTATATTTCATGCCAATTTTGTCATGAAACTTTCATTTGAGAACACCATGGATTAATTTTACAACCATTTAGAATTAGATTGAACATATTCATAAAATTTACAAATTTTGGAAAATGAAGAACCTAGCAAGAGACCTACAATATTTTTAATTAATTTGGCATAATTTAATCCCTAAACAATCATGCAATTTATTCAAGTGCATAGCCACCAAATTTGAATAGGATGACGACGAAGCCTAGGTTTGTTGTAGGCAATGGATTGGAGAGAGAAATGAAAACTTTACATGCAAGATAGGGACATTGAACACAAATCCAACCACTCAACGCCTCGCCGCCACCTTCTTTTAGTTCTCACATGAGAGCAATCATACGAAATCACCGGATTCACATGATTTGGCGAAGAGGACAGCGAACAAATAGGTTGTTTTGGGGTTTTGGAAAGAAAAGCGCATAGGTTTCTATGAACCTATGGCTTTGGAGCGTCAACCACACAATCAATAACTTGGAGACCTAAGTTTTGTCTCTAAGTTTTGGAGGAATTTTACCTAACTGGGTTGTCACGACACAAACAACAATTCACCCGCCTTGCAAAGGCGAGAAACGGAGGAAGGAAAATTTGTTGTCCAATCCACTCCGGAAACCGCTTCCGTTATCACGAACTCGCCAAAGGTTGATTTCAATCTCCCGAACTCGCAAAGACAGTTGAAGAAGAAAGTGAAGCTCTAGTTCTCTTTTGATTGTAGAAAGAGAAAAGATAGCAGCACTAAGGCTATCAAGATACCTTGTCGTGAAGAGAAAACCACACAACAACCCCACTACACCTAGGTCTGGTCCGGTCGGGCTTCAACACACGTACGGGAGATGAAGTCACCTACTGGATCAACATGCAAGAGAAAAAGCTCGTCTCTGGATACCGTACACATGCGAGAGGAAGACCTCGCTTGCTCGGTTTCCTGCCCTCGCTTGCTTTGTTTCCTACATTAGTCAATCGCAAACGAAAGAGGCCATGAAACGGAGGCCCTACTCCATCTGAACCCCTAGCCGGCCGAGTCGTTTGACCCCACTAGGCCGCACGTGTTCAAGTGAGGGCTTCCGCCTCCGCCTCCCTCTGTCTCGGCCGGAAGATCCACACATAAGGAAAAGGATGCAAGCCGATCCTCTTCCTTTCTCTTGCTCGGTTCGGAATGGGCACACGCAAAAGACAAGCAAAAGAAAAATAATAATAACTCGAGTCGAATGCCCACTCCCGCCTCCCTCCCGCTCTCTCTATATGTGAAACAAAGCTCTGCTACCTGAAGATATGATCTTCAGCGCTCTATCCTTGCTACAGCCATAGAAATCAAGCATGATACAATCTTTGGAAGTCGTTGATTTAATCTGAGCCCTCTAATTAGATTTATAGATTTGGGGAAATGATTAGAAAAGGCCAAAAAGGTAAATTTAACCTATTTGGGATTAAATTGAACCTCAATTGGGTCAATTGGGCTGAAATTGGACCCGAATTGAACCAAATTGGAACAATTTGAGTCGATTTAGGTTTAATTAGGTCCAATCGAGTCAATTTTTGTGAAATTGAAATTGAATCAACGCTGATTTGAGTCGAATTTGGTTCTACAAGGTTCGACAAAATTGATTTGGGTTCAATTTGAACCAATTACGGGTTGATTTGATCGATTTGGTTTTAATTTGATTTATTTGAGTTTAAATTGGGTCAATTTTAGTTCAATGGCGCTCGATCGAATTGATCGACCGCGATCGGCCCATCGGGCTTGAATCGGCTCGATCGTGTTGACCTCTGGATAAGATCCAGAAGAAATACAAAAAAAAAGTTTTAATCATTCAAAATACCTGTACAAGAATCCCGCAAATTCGGCCGATATTTCGCCAACCTCGGAGCGTCGAAGCCTGAAATCCCGCTCAAATACAGCCGAAATCCTACGAGATCGTTGTTCCTTCGGCGCCGTTCTGGGATTTGCTCGCCTCAACGCTGCCGCACTCGGTCTATAAAAGGGAGATGAGAGCGAGCTTTTAACGTGACTTCCTCTCTCACGAACAAAGCACTCAAGCTTCCGCTGCTCTCTTCGACTCCACACGACCTCCCGCTCCTACCGTGCTACCCGAAGCCACCTGATCTTCCCTCTTGCTTCCACGATCCCCCCAATCTTGAGAGAAACAGAGAAAGCAAGGAAGAGAGAGGGGGAGAAGCCATCCATTACCTGAAACCGAGCATCCTTCCTC